CATGGGGCAGTTTATTTTTCAAAGATTGATTTGAGGTCAGGATATTGGTAGATTAGAATTCAACCAGATGATATCTATAAGACAACCTTTAGAACTCATCAGGGGCATTATGAGTTTAAGGTAATGCCTTTTGGCCTTACTAATGCACCTACTACATTTCAAGCTCTCATGAATGAATTATTCAGTTCTTTTCTTAGAAAATTCGTTTTAGTTTTCTTTATGATATTATGGTGTACAGTGGCAGTATGAAACAACATGTTGAACATTTACAGCTTGTTTTGGAAGTTTTGGCAGTGAATCAGTTATTTGCAAAATGTCCAAGTGTTTTTTTGGACAGACTAAGATGGAATATCTGGGTCATATTATTTCTGCTGCAGGGGTGTCTACAAACCCTAGTAAGGTGGAAGCTATGCATACTTGGCCCAAGCCTAAATCCCTTAAAGCTCTTAGAGGATTTTTGGGGTTGACAGATTATTATAGAATATTTATAAGAAATTATGGCATTATTAGCAGACCATTGACACAGATGTTAAAGAATGATGGGTTTCAATGGACTTCTGCTGCTTGTACTGCTTTTAAAGAACTTAAAAGGGCTATGAGTTCTGCTCCAGTATTAGCTCTACCAGATTTTTCTAAGCCCTTTTATCTAGAAACATATGCTAGTTCTGGAGGTGTGGGGGTTGTTCTGTCACAAGAAGGTAGGCCTATTGCTTATTTGAGTAAAGCTTTAAGTCCTAGACATTCAGTTTTATCTATCTATGAAAGAGAATATCTAGTTATTCTCTTGGTTATTTCTAAATGGAGACACTACTTGGATAGTAAACATTTTGTGATTAAGACTGACCATGAGCCTTTAAAGTTTCTTCTAGAACAGAAAATGACTACCACTATTCAGAAAAAAGGGTTGACAAAGCTGTTGGGATTAGACTATACTATTCAATATAGAAAAGGAAAATTAAATGTGGCTGCTGATGCTTTATCTAGGAGATGGGAGGAGCAGGCTCAGTATTTGGCTATGGGAGTGACAGTTTTGGTGCCTACTTGGATTCAAGAAATTGAAGAAAGCTACCAAGGTGATTCTTTAGCTCAGAATTGGATTTCAATTCTGACTATTACTCCTTCTGCTGACAGTAAGTAGAAATATTCTAAGGCTGTTCTTCGATATGATGGGAGAGTTTATGTTTGAGCTAATGGGAGCCTTATAGTGATGATTATTCAATCTCTACATGATTCTGCTAAGGGGGGACATTTTGGGGCATATGCTACATATTACAGAATCAGGGCAAATTTTTATTGGCCAAACCTAAAATCTATGGTTGCTACTTATGTGAGATGTTGTGAAGTTTGCCAGCAAACTAAGGTTGAACATGTAGCAAAACCTGGTTTGCTACAGCCCCTGCCTGTTCCTAATCAAGCTTGGCAGATTATAACTATGGATTTCATTGAAGGGTTGCCTACTTCTTTTAAGAAAAACTGTATTTTGGTTATTGTGGATAAGTTTACAAAATACAGTCATTTTCTGCCCCTATCACATCCTTATTATGCAGTAGAGGTAGCTAAACTCTACTTAGACAATGTCTATAAATTACATGGTCAACCTCAAATGGCCATCTCTGATAGAGACAAGACCTTTACTAGTTTGTTTTAGAAGGAATTGATGAAGCAATTGGGTACTAAGACCCTTTTCAGCACTGCTTATCATCCTGAAATAGATGGACAAACAGAAAGGGTGAATCAATGCTTGAAACATTATTTAAGGGGTATTTGTTTATATCAACCTAGACAGTGGGCTAAATGGTTACCCCAGGCAGAGTGGTGGTACAACACCACTTACCATACTGCTTTAAAACTGACTCCATTTCAGGCTTTATATGGGTACAAACCACCTATTATGGTTTAGCCTACAGATACTACTCTACAGTCAGTCAGTGAAATCATGCATAGCAGAGAACATATGAGGCAATTGGTTAAACATCAATTGGAATTAGCTAGCAACAGAATGAAGCAGCAAGCAGATAAAAGTAGATCAGAAAGAAATTTTTTTGTTGGAGATTTGGTTTACCTCAAATTGCAGCCATATAGGCAGTCTTCAATTGCCCTGCAAAAAAATTTGAAATTAGCAGCTAAATATTATGGCCCCTACAAGGTATTGGAAAAGATATGGGAAATTGCTTATAAATTAGACTTACCAGCCTCATCAAGACTCCACCCAGTATTTCATGTCAGTCTCTTGAAGAAATTCATCAGGGACTCCTCGCTTGCTGCAACAGATCTTCCTGCCATAGAAGATGATGGTCAGTTCCGAATCAAACCCTTAAAAGTTATTGGGAGACGAATCGTAAACAGAAATGGCAAACCAATCACTCAACTTTTGGTTCGATGGCAAAATCTGGATGAAGCAAATGATACTTGGGAAGATTATTCGATCTTATGAGGGCAGTTTCCTACGTTTGATCCTTGGGGGCAAGGCTCATCTCGTGGGGTGGGTATTGTTGTAGTTGGAGAAGAAAGGGAAGATCGAGGAAGTGAGCGGGATTCGAATGAGCATGAATTGGGGATGGAGGAGGAACGAGGGTTAGGGATTCTGGGAAGTAATTTGGGAATTAAATTGAAAGAGAGAAATGAAGCACGAGGGGAAAAAGAATTAAAATTACCTGATGGGTTGAAGCAGGCTAAAGTCAGCCAGAACAATGAGGATAAGCCCAACCGGATGGCCCAGTACCTGTGATAACAAAGAATCAGTTTGTTAGGCAATCTGTTAGTGAAGAATGCCAGCTGGCATTTGTTAGATTCCTGTAACAGCCTGTATGAAAATAAAACTGTTGTGTAAACAATATTTTCCTTTATGAAATGAATGATGCATTTTTCTTCTCTATCAACTCTCTCTTTCGTCTAAATTCTTCTCTTAAACCTTTTCTTTTCTTTCAATCTATAACACATAACACTCTAAGACTTCAAGGAGAATCAAGGGCAATACCTTGCATATTTTGGTGGATAGTGGAAGCACACATAGTTTTATCACCCTAGGGTGGGCTAAAGAGGGAGTAAAAGTGGAACAAACTAATCCTATAACGATCACCATTACTGATGAATCCAAACTGTATAGAACTTCCAAGAGTAACAAGCTGAGCTGGAAGATGCAAGGGAATGTGTTTGAATTTGATTTTAGAGTTTCGAACATGGAAGAAAGTGATATGGTACTAGGAGTTGACTAGATGAGTTATTACATTCCAATTCTCATGAATTTTAGGGAGTTGACTATGACATTCATGTTGGGAAACAGAGATTAAACTGGAAGAGAAAAGAAAGAGCTTGTCTGTGAGGGTAGTTTTAGAAGCTAAACTGTTGAAGATGGTTGAAAAGGAGCCTGAAGTGATTAGGGAAGTTTATTTTCTAAATTTTGAGGCAGTGGAATCTAATATTCCAGCAGACCTACAATCATCGATATGGGAGTATCAGGACATCTTTGAAGAACTTAAGAAGATGCCTCCCATCAGGAGTCATGATAATGTGGTAGTATTAAAGGAAGAGACTCAACCAAACAACCTTAGACCCTATAGATTTCCACACCCGTAGAAGGTAAAAATTGAGAAACAGATCAGGGAGATATTGTCTGCTTCAATTATTCAAACCAACAGGAGCCCTTTTGCTTCACTTTACTTTCTAGTGAAGAAATAAGATGGGACACGGAGGATGTGTGTGGACTATAGACAGTTAAATTCTGTGACAGTTAAAAACAAGTTCCCTATTCCATTAGTAGAAGACTTGTTGGATGAATTAGCAGAAGCATCTTATTTTTCTAAAGTGGACTTGAGGTCAGGATATTGGCGAATTAGGGTGAAAGAAGAAGTCATCCCTAAAATAGCCTTCAGAACTCATCAAGGAAACTATGAATTCAAGGTAAATGCCCTTTGGTTTAATCAATGCTCCTCTCACTTTTCAAGCATTAATGAATGAGTTATTTGGTCCTTATCTAAGGAAGTTTGTGCTACTATTTTTTGATGATATCTTAGTGTATGGTCCTGATCATTCAACTCATAAGAAACACCTGGCTGTGGTGCTAAGGATCCTGAGAGATAATTAGCTATATGATAACAAGAGTAAATGTTTCTTTGGACAACCTAGAGTGGAATACCTAGGGTATGTAATCTCTGCAGCAGGGGTTTCTACTGTTCCAAGATTGAAGCAATGCAATAGTGGCCTATACCAAAAACTCTCAATTCATTAAGGGGTTTCCTAGGACTTACTGGGTACTACAAAAATTCATTAAGGGGTACGGTGAACACAGTAAACCTATAACTAATTTACTAAAGAATGGTGCATTCCACTGGAATCTAGAGGTAGAGAAGGCTTTCCATGAGCTAAAATAGGCTATGTGTGAAGCCCCTACTCTAACTCTCCCAAATTTCAACAAAACCTTTTGTTTGGAGACATATGCAAGTCAGAAGGGAGTAAGAGTTGTGCTAACACAGGATGGAAGGCCTTTAGCTTATTTAAGTAAGGCCTTGGGACCAAGACACATAGAATTGTCCATCTATGAAAAGGAGTATATAGCCATCTTAATGACAGTCTCCAAATGGAGATATTATTTAGAGAATGGACTGTTCATAGTGCATTTTTTCGAACACCTTGCCTAGTGCATTTTTTCTGTTTCGAACACCCTTGAAGCAAAGCACTAGATCATGAACTGTACTTATACCTAATATATACTTCATTTGGACGACTGTCGAGATCCTCTCATTGCACCATCAATGTGCACTTCGTCGAGAAACCCGACCTAAATTTGTTAGTGAACCAACAGGCCTAGAGGGAATTCCAATTAATTTGTCTGGTAGCTAAAGGACATAACAGATGTTAAATACATCTCCTTTGGTTACCAATGTTAGTGAAAACCAATTTACTATAATCTGTTCTGCTTCATAGAAATGATCAATCTACTTGGAACGATTGATGCAAACAGGAGATTTAAAACAAGAAATAAATTCTTTGAGAAGTTATAGTAAAGATAAAAAGATGGATGATTGTCATTGCAGATAACTGAATATGAAGAAAAAATCTGGAGTTTTCTCATTATACGTCTTAATGTAGAGTGCCATTTTTACTTGCTTTCCTTTTGATCAACCCAATGACATCTTCCGTCAAGGGTGCATCACAAGGCAAGGTGAGATGTTCATTGCCTTGAAGCCCAAACTCTTCTTCTGCCAGTTGGAACAACTCCATCACAATTTCGTTCTTCAGATATTCCAATGGAAGCACAAACCGCTTCTCATCAGAGCAATACACCACAAAGTGACCCTTCTCGACCATTGAAGATGTGCTGCAACTGTTTGTACCAACTTTCCGACTGGTTCTCGAAAGTGTGATTCTTTTTCTCCTGATTGCTGCCAGTTTTTGCCATTTCCTTGCCAATTTGATAAGCTTCTTAGCACTCATCATCTTATTTCGTTTTTCAAAACAAGGGAGGCTATTGTAGAACAAGAGAAGGAAGAAAAAGTAAAGATCGAAGGGAACTGAAAGCTTTTGTTTAGCTGTACTGATGAAAATGGAAAATCGATGAATATATATACACTCAAGTCTTGAAAAACAGTTCTTTGAATTAAGTATTTCAATGTTGGGATTCAAGGGAAGCAAATAAGCAAAACCATGTGGGTCGAAAATGTGAGAGATCATTTAGAAGTCAGCCAGTTGGGCATGTCTGGTAAGTAATGGAAGTGGTCCAATCTTTTTTATTATCAGAACCGTGGCATGTGAAGGACCCAGCACCGTAGTCCTCATATGATCTGGATATATTAGCAAACAAGAAAATATTGTGGTTCTAGTTCACTAAGAATCCTTGACTGATGGCGTTATCTAATTTCTGAAATAGGCTTTGCCCCCAACAAACTAATAAGATTGAAACATCATTATCTCCAGGCTGTTATGCTTTTAGATATCTCATAAGTAATCTATTTCACATGGATCTGTCTGTAAATGGCTCCCATAGATGGCTAACAGAGAAGTCATGGTCACCCTCATACTTTTATGTACTGAAGTTTTCGAATAGTTGGGTCGAATTTGGTAGAATTTTACTTCAACTCAATGCTCAGATGATAGGCTCCAGAGGTTTTACTTTCTTTGATTTTCTGCTCTGTCTGGACAAGGTTTAACAAAGTAACAAATCAAAATTTGCTTCCTTTCCCTTTAATTTGTTGTCTTCTGAGCTCACCGAAATGGGTGAAGAAGTTTCAGAATGGTGTTTCTATGTCGTGTAAAAAGGGAATTTAATATCTGCTACCGAGAGAAAAGAAAACATATATTGAGACATGACATATAAATATTTAAGTTCATAACTGTTAAAAGTTTCAAAGTTTGGCAACCAACTTTGGAAAATGTTTTTTTCAAAGTTTGGTAAATGTTTCTTTGAAAAATGTTTTTCAAAGTTTGGTAAAATTTTGATAGATGTTTGTTGAAAATAGGAATGGGTAAATTCACTTTAGTCATTGCACTTTAGGGTATTTTCAAAGATTAGTCCCTAAGTTTCTACTATAAATACCCTTACCCATTTAGCTTCAAAATCATCCCAAAACATTTCTTTCTTCCTATACTAGAGAGCTTTCTTGTGAGTAGTGAGTGTTTTGTAAACACCTGTAAATTTTCTCTCTTAGTAAAAGATCTGCAGCAGCCCGGAGACGTAAGCACAATTGGCTGAACTCCGTTATCAATTTTCGGGTATTATTTTTCCGCTTTTATTTCGCATTCTCACTAATCTGGTTATAGGGAAATTACTTGTACTCGGTTTATTTTCCTAACAATTGGTAATCAGAGCTTTTGGTTATGAATTTTGTCAAATTTTCTGCGAGGTTACTATTCACGAAATTCACTATTCACGTGAATAGTGAATTTCGTGAATAGTGAAATTCAGTCGGCGATACGAGTTTGTCGACGGTGGTGTTCTAATACACGGTGATTCTCAAGAATTGTCGGAAACGATCCAAACGAAGCCAGATTCGAGTGGGAGCGATGGCTGCAGACGAAGGGAATGTGAAAATTGAAAAGTTCGATGGTGCGGACTTTGGCTTTTGGAAGATGCAGATTGAAGATTTTTTGTACCAGAAAAATCTATATCAACCTCTCTCAGGAAAGCAACCAGAGGGCATGAAGGATGAAGATTGGGCTCTTCTCGACAGACAAGCCCTCGGAGTTATCCGACTGACGTTATCCCGCAATGTTGTTTTTAACATAGCAAAGGAAAAGACCACGGCGGGTCTTATGGCGGCTCTCTCCAGTATGTACGAGAAGCCATCGGCCTCAAACAAAGTTCATTTGATGAGGCGATTATTCAATTTGCGGATGGCGGAAGGGGCATCGGTGGCACAACACCTAAATGAACTCAACACAATCACAACCCAGTTGAGTTCAGTGGAAATTGAGTTCGATGATGAAGTTCGAGCTTTAATTCTCTTATCATCTCTACCAGACAGTTGGAATGCTACTGTTACAGCAGTCAGCAGTTCGTCGGGAAACAGCAAATTAAAATTCGACGATGTTCGGGATCTGGTATTGAGTGAAGAAATTCGACGAAGAGAATCGGGTGAAGCATCAACCTCCTCAGCCTTACACACGGAGTCTAGAGGGAGAACTTCAGAAAGAAATTCAAATCGTGGCAGATCAAAATCTAGAAGGGGCAAATCAAGAACATGAAATAAAGATTTTACCTGTTATAATTACGGCAAAAAGGGTCACTTCAAAAGAGATTGCCGAGCACCGAAGAAAAATACCGGCGCACAGGAATCTGCCAACATGACGGAGGAGACATGTGATGCCATGATTTTAAGCGTCAACAGTCCGATTGAATCATGGATCTTGGATTCAGGGGCATCTTTCCACTCCACCCCATGCCGAGAAATCATGGAGAACTATGTCAGTGGTGATTTTGGGAAGGTTCATCTAGCTGATGATGAAACCTTGAAGATCGTCGGAAAAGGAGACATCCGACTAAAGCTGCCAAACCAGACCACCTGGAAGCTGACAGGAGTGAGACATATTCCTGGCCTCAAAAGAAATCTGATTTCTGTTGGGCAGCTTGATGGAGAAGGATATAGTACAACTTTTTCAGGCTGTGAATGGAAGATTACCAAAGGAGCACTCGTCATTGCTCGTGGTAAGAAGACCGGTACTCTCTATGTAACCTCAAATTTAGAGAATATCATTGCAGTAGCAGATGCTGATGGAAAATCAAACCTATGGCACCAAAGGCTCGGCCATATGAGCGAGAAAGGAATGAAGATACTTCTGTCAAAAGGGAAGCTGCCGGATCTAAAGAATGTAGATGTCTGACTATGCGAGGATTGCATCTTTGGAAAACAAAAGAAAGTCAGTTTTACAAAGATTGGCAAGACTCCCAAGGTAGAAAGGTTAGAATTGGTTCATACTGATGTATGGGGACCATCCCATGTTCCATCTCTTGCAGGCTCACTATATTATGTCACCTTCATCGATGATTCAACAAGGAAGGTGTGGGTTTATTTTCTGAAGAAGAAATCAGAAGTCTTTGATACCTTCAGAAAATGGAAGGCCATGGTGGAAAATGAGACTGGTTTGAAAGTCAAGCGGTTGAGGTCTGACAATGGAGGAGAGTACAGAGACAGTAGTTTCAGAGATTTCTGCGCAAACAATGGGATCAAGATGGAGACAACAGTTCCCATAACACCGCAGCAGAATGGCGTAGCAGAGCGCATGAACAGAACTCTGAATGAACGTGCCAGAAGCATGAGGATACATGCCGGATTGCCCAAATTTCTATGGGCTGAAGCTATCAACACTGCAGCTTACATGATCAACCGTGGGCCCTCAGTTCCTTTGGATGGCGGAATACCAGAGGAAGCTTGGAGCAAGAAAGAAATAAACCTTTCACACTTAAGAGTGTTTGGTTGTATTTCTTATGTACACATAAACTCTGCTGAAAGAAGTAAACTTGATGCCAAGTCCAACAAATGCGTCTTTGTTGGTTACGGTGGTGATGAGTTCGGTTACCGGTTTTGGGACTACGAAAATCGAAAGATCATCAGAAGCAGAGACGTCATTTTCAATGAAAATATGATGTACAAAGATAGGTCAACCGCAGAATCAAGTAATACCGAAGCTGAAACAAAGGAATTTGCTGAGTTCGAGGATATTTCTGGAAATGATGTTCAGATCAATCCTGAAGCAGTTCAAGAAGAACCACACACACCAGAACTGAGACGCTCCTCCAGAATTCCTAAACCAACCCAACGGTATTCGCCTTCTTTGCACTATTTGTTGCTGACTGACAATGGTGAACCAGAGTGCTATGATGAAGCAATGCAGGTGGAGGATTCAGTCAAGTGGGAGTCTTCCATGAAAGATGAGATGGACTCGCTTATGTCAAATCAGACTTGGGAATTAGCTGAATTACCACCAGGCAAGAAAGCGCTCCATAACAAGTGGATTTACAGGATCAAAGAAGATTATGATGGGAGAAAACGCTACAAAGCAAGATTGGTTGTCAAAGGTTTTCAGCAAAAAGAAGGTATTGACTACAATGAAATTTTCTCTCCAGTCGTAAAACTGTCTACAATCAGACTGGTGTTGAAAATTGTAGCTGCGGAGAATTTACATCTCGAGCAGTTAGATGTAAAGACAGCTTTCCTTCATGGTGATTTGGAGGAAGAGATCTATATGAGGCAGCCAGAAGGCTTCATAGAGGCAGGCAAGAAAAACCTGGTATGCAGGTTGAAGAAGAGCTTGTATGGTTTAAAACAAGCTCCTAGACAGTGGTACAAGAAGTTCGATAGTTTCATGAGTAGCAGTGGTTTTACCAGATGCCAAGCATATCATTGTTGCTACATCAAGAGGTTCGACAATAGTTTCATTATTTTATTGTTGTATGTTGATTACATGCTCGTTGCAGGCTCAAACATGCAAGAGATCATAAACTTGAAGCAAAAATTGTCGAAGCAGTTTGCTATGAAGGATCTGGGCACTGCAAAGCAGATTCTTGGGATGAGGATCAAGAGAGACACAAAGTCGGGGACTTTGATGTTATCGCAGGCTGAGTACATCAACAAAGTACTCTCCAGGTTCAACATGCAAGATGCTAAACCAGTAAGTACACCTTTAGGTGTTCATTTCAGACTCTCCAAAGACCAATCACCAAAGACGGAGGAAGAACGTGCACACATGGTGAAGGTGCCGTATGCCTCAGCAATTGGAAGTCTGATGTATGCCATGGTTTGTACCAGACCAGATATTGCTCATGCAGTGGGAGCTGTTAGCAGGTACATGAATAATCCGGGCAAGGTACACTGGGAAGCAGTCAAATGGATCCTCAGATATCTTCGGGGTACCACAAACAAAGCACTTTGTTTCAAAGGTAGAGATATGATACTGACAGGCTATGTAGATGCTGACTTAGCCGGAAATGTCGACATCAGAAGGAGCACTACAGGGTATGTCTATACTCTAGGAGGAACTGCAGTGAGTTGGGTTTCTCAACTACAGAAGATAGTTGCTCTCTCCACAACTGAAGCAGAATATGTCGCTGTTACGGAAGCCAGCAAGGAGATGGTTTGGCTCCAAAGTTTCTTGGAAGAGTTAGGCAAGAAACAAGAAAACAATATCTTGTATTGCGACAGTCAAAGTGCTATCCATCTAGCAAAGAATCCGTCTTTTCATTCCAGGACAAAGCACATACAATTGAGATATCATTTTATCCGGTCTCTTCTGGAAGATGGGATTTTGAAACTTGAAAAGATTAGTGGAGCTCAAAATCCGGCAGACATGTTGACAAAGACGGTGACTACGGACAAACTGAAGTTGTGTTCAGCTTCAGTTGGTATGCTAGAATAACAAGACCAGACATGCTGCTGCATTGATCGAGGTGTGAAGACATATTAAAATCAGTCTTCAAGTGGGAGATTGTTAAAAGTTTCAAAGTTTGGCAACCAACTTTGGAAAATGTTTTTTTCAAAGTTTGGTAAATGTTTCTTTGAAAAATGTTTTTCAAAGTTTGGTAAAATTTTGGTAGATGTTTGTTGAAAATAGGAATGGGTAAATTCACTTTAGTCATTGCACTTTAGGGTATTTTCAAAGATTAGTCCCTAAGTTTCTACTATAAATATCCTTACCCATTTAGCTTCAAAATCATCCCAAAACATTTCTTTCTTCCTATACTAGAGAGCTTTCTTGTGAGTAGTGAGTGTTTTGTAAACACCTGTAAATTTTCTCTCTTAGTAAAAGATCTGCAGCAGCCCGGAGACGTAAGCACAATTGGCTGAACTCCGTTATCAATTTTCGGGTATTATTTTTCCTCTTTTATTTCGCATTCTCACTAATCTGGTTATAGGGAAATTACTTGTACTCGGTTTATTTTCCTAACAATAACAAATAACAGAGGATTCCAATTCTAAATCTTATGTACGTTTTCTTGGTAAAACTGTTGAGTAATAGTATTAGTTGACATGATAAGTCACTCTTTGTAATATGAACTTGCTGATTTTGTACTGTATATAAGTATGTTCCCTATCTAGGTTCAAGACAACTAAATATAAAGAGAGAGAAAAATAGATGCTTTTTAATTATATACTTCAATCCGCAAAGGTGTGGATCAATTACAAGACGATAAAAAGGAATAAGTAAATTGCTTCAGAAGCTCCATATTGGCAATTGCGGGTTCATTTCTTGCTGATAAATATATGATAAGCAGCAACAGCTGGTGCTTACAGACAGGATCAATGCTTTCTCCACTTCTTTAATTGGTTTCTTTTTTATCAAAGCGATTATATATTCCATAAAGTTTGCATCACAAGGCACGAGGAGAATCCCATTGCCTGGTCGTCCAAACTCTTCTTCTATCAAGTTGAATAGCTATATCACAATGTTGTTCTTTAGATATTCCAAAGGAAGCACAAAGCGTTTCTGATCCACAGTGTATACAACAAAGTGACCTTTGTCGACCACCGATGATGTGCTGCAACTGTTCGTTTCAGAATCTCTCGAGTTTCTTGGTAATGTGATTCTTTTTCTCCTAATACACGCCATTTTTTGCCATCTTTTTGCTAACTTGATAAGCTTCTTAGCACTGATCATCTTGCTTTGCTTGGTCTATTATGAAGGACTTGGAGATGAAAGGAAGAAAAAAAATGGAATTTTTAGGTTTTAGAACTCTGATTGCTAAATGCAGTTGCTATGCTTGATGCGAGGCAATGCAACTGGGATGAAGATATGTAATCACAGGGCTAGAGACGACCTCTTTAATGAATTAGTAGAATTCAGGTATTCATAGGAAACAGAGCCATGTGATGGCAGCTCTGAGGGCTACTCTGTAAGGGGGCCTGCCTGTTTTTAGTGAATAATTAACCCATCAAGGTGGAACATACAAGTGCATGCAGACACATCTTTACCTATCATCAGCCAAGTGGTTTAACAACAGTACGGTCCAGTGTTGCAATAATATTGACTCGCGATTTGATAAAAATTTCATTTGGGATCCTCTTTACATAAGATTAATTACTTTAAATAGTAATAAGAAACCTTCACTCAAGCAAATTGCAACCTACATCTTGTCTTCGTTCAAACCCAATTAATATCATGACCTTCCTGTCACTTATCCATGGGGACAATCTTTTCTATGCAATCCTGAATGAAGATTTGAGGGATGCACAATCATGTGATGGTAAGAGAAACACATCATGTGTTGATCGTCCTTTTTGTTTTTTCTGTTGGCACATGGAGTTTGAATGTAAAGAGGGGACTGTCCATTCTGTGTTGCAAGTGCTCTATTTTTCTTATTTGAAATAAACCTTGATCCACAAGATGAAGGGGATTATTTCTTGTAAATGGAATATATAAGATGACCGCAAGAGTGAAGATTTCTTGCAGTTCACCTTGATTGTGACCATTTTGGTCTCTGAGGTGTGAAAAACAAATTCGATCAGTCGGTCCTTAACCGGCTAACAATATAGTCTTGGTTCAGTAATTTCTAATCTATACTGTCATAAACCTGACGATTCTACTTAAAAAGCACTCTAAATTGCTAATCTATGCTGCAAGCAGGTTTCCATAATAAAGGGTTCTATTGTTCTGATTCAAATGGATGTATGATATTTGATAGATTCCAACTAAGCACTGAAGCTGAATTACCTCATGTCACACTGATCAAGGCTTCTATAAGTTAGACATCAACTACAAGCTGAAGCTGAATTAGATCAGGTCACATTGAGAATTTAGTTGAAGGGACAACCTTTATGCATTCAAAGTGACAAACTGACAGTCATTAGTCTGAATTAGCAAGACAAATACATGAAATTGTGGTCATTCTATCCTCTTCAGCATCTCAACTGCAGGTGAACAAACCAGAAGGCTATCACTGATGGATGCAAAAAATTTCGCATATCTTATTGGTTTAACACATTGTCCAGTTGCACAGCTTAATGTAATAGAGAGAAAATCAAATGGTCCGGCTTTGGAAAAATACATAAAAGACAAGTCCGATTTGTACACAAAAGACTAAGAGTGCGTTTGGTTCACGGAATATAAGATTACCAGTGGGAATGTAAGATTATCAGAGAATAGGATTACTGAGAATGTTGTATTTTGTGTTTGGTTGGCTTAGCAAGAATGTAAGATTATCGTGTTTGGTTAAAGGAATAAAAGATTATTGGAATGTACATTTGACCAAATTATCCTTATTATATATTTATTTTTTTTAACAAGTTGAAAAATATTTATATATTTTCTTTAAAAAATTTAAATTCATAAAATTTATATAATTTTTTTACAAAATTGAAAATATAAAAAGGTTTAATGAAAGGGTAAAATTTTATTTTAACCCCTGAACTTCATATAAAATTTTAACTATAGACTTTTTTTGTAAATCTAAAATAATTTAAGGATAAATTTGTAATTTAACCTTCGCAGAATTTTTATTATTCAATGACAGAATAAAGATATTTTTGAAAAAAAAAATTAAGGGCATTTTAGTCCAAAACTCTAGTAATCCAACAATACCCAAGGAAAAGCATATAATGACATTCCCGGTAATATACCAAAAAAATCCACTATTGGTAATCTTACATTACCGGGAATAGAATTCCCGAGCTAACCAAACGGGAGATGTGGATTCCATTCCCATGGGAATCACACATTCTCCCATCCAAACACCCCTTAAAAGTATACTTTGCAGCAAGCGGTTTATAATTTAATCATAAAAAACATGTATTTAATCAATGATTCCACCTCCCATTTATCAAGAAATCAACTATGAACAGACTCGGCCAAACTCAAGTAATCTATATTCACTACCAGTTACCAGCAATCAATGTTGTATGATTATTTGGAACTTACAACAACAAAAAGAACCTACAAGCTAAGCACAATAACGCAAAGAAAACAGTTCTGAATCTTCAATATATTTTCTTGGCATAACTGTTTAGTAATAGTATTATCTGACATGATAATTTAATCTTTTCAAATTGAAATAGTTGATGTAATATTTTAGATAAGAAGTAAGTTCTCTATCAAGGTTCAATACAACTAAGCATGAGAGACAAATTTTGATGTTTTTGCATTATATAATTTAATCTACAAAAGGCGTGGATCAATTACAAGATGTGAAGGGGGAGGGGGAATTACTTCATAAGTTATATATTGGAAATTGTTGGCTCATTTCTTGTTGATAAATATACGATGATGAGCAACGACCGGTGCTTACAGACATGATCAATGCTTCCTCCACTTCTTCACTTGGTTTCCTTTTGATGAGATCAATTACATATTCCATAAAAGTTGCATAACAACGCATGATGAGAGGCCCATTCCTAGGAAGTCCAAACTCTTCTTCTGCCAAGTTGAACATCTCCATCACAATTTTGTTCTTTAGATATTCCAAAGGAAGCAAAAAGCGCTTCTGATACACACTGTATACGACAAAGTGACCCTTGTCGACTACCGATGATGTGCTGCAACGGTTTGTTTCAGTGTACCTGGTGGTTCCTCGTAATGTGATTCTTTTTCTCCTAATTGAAGCCATTTTTTGCCATTTTCTTGCGAACTTGGTAAGCTTCTTGGTACTGATCATCTTGCTTTGCTTGGTTAGGTAGGAAGGACTCTGAGATGAAAGGAAGAAAAAGAAAGAGTGAATTTTTAGGTCTTAGAACTCTGATTGCTAAATGCAGCTATTGTGCTTGATATGAGACAGTTGAATTGGGATGAAATATATAATCAAAAAGGGTAGAGGCAGCCCCTTTAATAAATTATTTGATTTCAGGTATTCATAGGAAACAAAACCATGTGATGGTAGGTATGTAGGATAATCTGCAAGGGATATTGCCTACTTTCATTGGATGATTAACCCAACAAGGTGGAGCATACAAGTGCTTACAGAGACAGTTTTATCTATCTGCCAAGTGGTTTAACAACATAGTCCATTGTTGCAACAATATTGATTACTTTTAAAGAGCAATAAGAAGTCTTCACTCAAGCAAATTGCCACTTGTACCTTGTCACTGTTCATATCCTATCAATTTCATGTCCTTCATGTCACTTATCCATGGGGGCAATCTCTTCCATGTACTTCTCAACGAATGCAAAACCATGTGATGATAGGAAAGAGATACTGTTACCATGCATGGTTGATAGACTAAAAATACCAAACAATGAAACGGCATTGAACTTTGGAGCCTTAAGAAAAATTAGATTAAGACATGGAAAATAAATGAGCATATGCCATTACTAGTTCATCTGCAGGATGTTACTGCTGGTGCAAAGTAATTAAACTGTCCCAGATAAAAAAAACCTTAGAAAAAGTAAAGGAAAAGGGAGTTTGATTTGTGTATCATTGCTAGTACTGACTAGGGAAGAAAGTTAGGCGGCTGAATTAGTTAGGTCACATTGAGAATTTCTTGGAAGGGACAACCTTTATGCATTCAAAGTGACAAGCTGTCAGTCATTAGAGTCTGAATTAGCAAGACAAGTACATGAAATTGTGGCCATTCTAACCTCTTTCAGCAACTCAACTGCAGGTGAACTTTGACCTTTCAATTCAAATGCATTCCTCAATGGTGCCAAATTCCAAATTCATCCTGCAGCATTTGGCCCTTCAATTCTGGTTAACAAACCAGACGGTTATCACTGATGGATGCAAAAAGTTTAGCATATTAGTATACAAATTCTACTCATGAACCCAATGACCAGTAAAAATTGTAATTGGCCTCAAGGGAAACTATTTGATCAATGATTCCACAACCTATATATAAAGAAATCAACTATGAACACTCCAAGAATGAACACTCCAAGAATGAAAGCCTCCATTAAACATAGCCAAGCACAAGTAATCTATAATCACTACTAGTTACCAGCAATCAAAGTTGTATAATTATTTGGAACTTACAATGAAAACCCACTAGCTAAATCAACAAACTATCTCAAATCACTAACAATAAATGTCGAAACCATACTAACTGTTCATGATAGTTTAAAAAAAACCAAGATTGAGCAAAAGCCATGAAGTCGAACATCAAACTCAGCACAAAAACGCAAAGAAAATGGTCAGAGAAAGAGATGGAAACAGACCAGCAGAAAAGGAAAAATGAAGAAAAAATTAGGGAAAAATGAAGAAAAAAATTTGGACCATTTCTCGATTTGTGCGTGTCATCCTTGCCCAGTGGCCATGCTAATCTTCTCTAGCTGATGTGGGATATTTAGTTGGTTCCCAACTGAATCATGAATTAGCCTATGTAATCTTTATAAAGTCCTAACGTGTGGGCTGGCCCAGACTTGGGTGTTGCTCAAAACAAAAGCCATGGGCTTGTAGACGTGGCTGAAGAGTGAGACCCTTTTATTCAGACATGAGCTGTATTAGCCTATAATATATAGATTGGTTTAGATTGTTACTTTAAGATTAAAATAATGATAACTGGTCAAGTTGAATAATGATCATTTTATGAAGATTTTCAGCATCTTTATTCAGGGATCTACTCATTTTTAAATGTTGATAGACTTGTATATTGTTTTGATTTCACAAGTAACAAAGGTGAAAGATTTGAGGCCACGCATAGATGGCCAATTCACTTGTTTATGAGACATTTGGGTCTTCCATTCTTGGATGATGAACCCAGTCAGCTGCTTGTTTAGGCTTCTCAGAAGCTCCAAATTTCCAGAACAATGCATTAACAGGAAACACCTTAGAATTGCCGATTCAATCCGACCATAATAAGCCGTCTTCAAAGTATTTCACCTCATTCACGAACAGCTAGACTTTACGCATTTGATTGCTAGGCTTTGTTACCTGCATCTAACACTCACCCCGAGTGCAAGTAACATATGTCTCAATTATCATCATTCAGGTCCTGCAAGCATGTCATGTCGTCTTTTTGCTTTTGATTCTAGCTATTTCATTCCAAATCAATCTGCTTCTATGAGAACACGCTTACTAATTTTGATTATTTATCAATTTTAGTCTGTAATGCTGGAATTTATTATCTACAGTTGTCCAGTAAATGTTAAATATAGATGCGAGGTTACTGATTCCTTTGAAATTGTGAGAGTTCTTTAATATTTTAGTTTCATATGTATTTGTAGTTTGCAAAACTATTCACAAGATAGCAGATGTTCCAAAGTTAACTCATTATAGTTATCAAAAAGTTCTGCTGCATTTCATGAAGTTAGCATTCCAAAAAGAATTATCTATACAAGTTTCTTTCATCCCCTTCTGGGGTTGAAAGTTGCATAATGTTTTACATGGTAAATATGTTCAGAATCCACAGACAAGCCACTGTTTTTCAGCGTGTCCTTCGTGGAAAATTGTAATGTAGGACGAGCAGCCATGGCCAGTGATTGAACTGAGCACTGCTTTCTTCAAATCCTTAGCTAATCCTCGCTGTACCAACAAGACTATGTAACTCACTATGACAAAATCGCAAGGTAATGTTGTAGGTCCATCGCTTGACAGTCCGAACTCCTCCCCAGACATCTTGAAAAGTTGCTGGAAAATACTGTTCTTGAGATATGCCTAGGGAATCACAAAACGCTCCTTATCCATTGTATTGACAACAAATGGCCTTTATTACCGACTGATTGTTTATCAAAACGATCAGCATTAGCCGTATTTTGAACAATACTACTTGGTGAAGTAATTCCTTTCCTTCTAATGGCTGCTATCTTCTTCCACTTCCTTGACATTTTGGTGAAGTAACTCTTCCTCAGACAGCTTTAAGAGTTCAAGAAATATGTTATTTCTGAGATACGACAAGGGCACAACATGGCGCTTCGAATCTGTGGTTATTACAATGCAGATGTACAGTTAGTTATTACTATTTTTCTAAGAGTCTTGAAATTTCAATGCTTTGCTTTGCAAGTAGTCAGATGAGTTGCACCTTCGATGCTACAACTAAAACCTGTGTTGGAATTCTTATATTCATATGAATTCTAAAAAAGACAAAGGTACTAGAAGGACCTGGAGATTCAAAACAAGAAGGAAATTCTTTGAGAAGTTATAGTTAAGATAAAAAGATGGATGATTGCCATTGCAGATAATATGAAACAAAAATCTGGAGTTCTCTCATTATTTGTCTTATTGTACAGTGCCATTTGGTTTTAGAAACTCAATATTGGCAACTGTTGGTTTGTTTCTTGCTGATAGGGATGCCATAATGATGAACAACGGACACCCACTACTGACATAATCAATGCTTTCTCGACTTCTTTACATGCTTTCCTTTTGATCAACCCAATTACATATTCCATCAAAGCTGTATCACAAGGCAAAGTGATATGTTCATTGCCTTGAAGCCCGAATTCCTCTTCTGCCAGTTGGAACAACTCCATCACAATTTTGTTCTTTAGATATTCCAATGGAAGCACAAAGCGCTTCTCATCAGAGCTATACACCACAAAGTGACCCTTCTCCACCATCAATGATGTGCTGCAACTGTTTGTGTCAACTTCCCCACTGGTTCTCGACAGTGTGATTCTTTTTCTCTTAATTGCTGCCAGTTTTTGTCATTTCCTTGCCAATTTGATAAGCTTCTTAGCACTCATCATCTTGTTTTGTTTTTTATAAGGGAAGATATTGTCGAACAAGAGATGGAAGAGAAAGTAAAGATCGAAGGGAACTGAAAGGTTTTGTTTAGCTGCACTGATGAAAATGGAAAATGGATGAATATATATACACTCACGTCTTGAAAAGCAGTCCTTTGAATGAAGCATTTCAATGCCGGATTCAGGGGAAGCAAATAAGCAAAACCATGTGGGTCGAAAATGTGAGAGATCATTTGGAAGGCTGCCAGTTGGGCATGTCTTGTAAGTAATGGAAGTGGTCCATTCCTTCCTTTCCACAAGCGTGGCATGTACAGGACCCAACACAGTGGTACCCATTTTCTAGATATATTACCTAACAATAAAATATTGTGGTTCTAGTTTACTAAGAATTCTTGACTGACGGCTTTAACTAATTTCTGAATTACGCTTTGCCCCCAACAAACTAATATGATTGAAACATCATCATCTCCAGGCTGTTATGCTTTTAGATATCTCATAATTATTCTACTCCACATTGATCTGTCTGTAAATGGCTCTCATAGATATCTAACAGTGAGATCCTGGTCGCCATCATACTTCATGTACTGGAGTTTTCGAATTGTTGGGTCGAATTTGGTAGAATTTTACGTCAACTCTATGCTCATATGATACTCTCCAAGGTTTTACCTTCTTTGATTTTCACCTCTGCCTGGACAAGTTGTGTCTAACAAAGTAATAAATCAAAATTTGCTTCCTTGCCCTTTAATTTGTACTCTTCTAAGCTCACCAAAATGGGTGAGGAAGTTTCAGAATGATGCTTCTATGACGTATAAAAAGGGAATTTAATTATCTCCTATTGAGACAAAAGAAAAGAAAACACATTAAAACATGGCAGATAAAAAATTTAGTTCAGTTCCTGTATATTGACAAATAACAGAGGATTGTGTTTTTATTATATACTAACAGAGGATTCCAATTCTGAATCTTATATACATTTTCTTCATAAAACTGTTTAGTAATAGTATTAGTTGACATGATAGGTCACTCTTTCTAGTATGAACTTGTATATAAGAAGTTCCCTATCGAGGTTCAAGACAAACTAGTATGAGAGAAAAAATTGAAGTTTTTGCATTATATGCTTTAATCTACAAAAGTGTGGACCAATTACAAGACGATAAAAGAAAAAAAAAATTGCTTCAGAAGCTACATATCGGCAACTGTAGGTTCATTTTTTGCTGATAAAGATATGATTTCTTTTTTATCAAAGCAATTACATATTGAATAAAGTTTGCATCACAAGGCATGAGGAGAATCCCATTGCCTGGTAGTCCAAACTCTTCTTCAGCCAAGTTGAATGGCTCCATCACAATGTTGTTCTTTAGATATTCCAAAGGAAACATAAAGCGCTTCTGATCCACACTGTACACAACAAAGTGACCCCTGTCGACCACTGATGATGTGCTGCAACTGTTTGTTTCAGAATCCCTCAAGTTTCTTGGTAATGTGATTCTTTTTCTCCTAATAGATGCCATTTTTTGCCATCTTTTTGCTAACTTGATAAGCTTCTTAGAACCGATCATCTTGCTTTGCTTGGTTTTGTAGGAAGGTCTCTGAGACGAAAGGAAGAAAAAAAGGGAATTTTTAGGTCTTAGAACTCAGATTGCTAAATGCAGTTGTTATGCTTGATGTAAGGCAATGCAACTGGGATGAACATATATAATCACAAGGATAGAGACAACCTCTTTAATGAACTAGTAGAATTCAGGTATTCATAGGAAACAAATCCATGCGATGGCAGCAATGAGGGATAATCTGCAAGGGAGCCTGTCTGTTTTTAGTGAATGATTAAACCATCAAGGTGGGGCATACAAGTGCATGCAGACACATCTTTACCTATCAGCCAAGTGGTTTAACAACAATATGGTTCAGTGTTGCAATAATATTGGCTCATGATTTGATAACCAATTTCATTTAGAATCCTCTTTACATAAGATTAATTACTTTAAATAGTAATAAGAAACCTTCACTCAAGTAAATCGCAACCTATTTCAACTCGAATCATGACCTTCCTGTCACTTATCCATGGGGATATTCTCTTCTATATAGTATTGAATGAAGTTTTGAGGGATGCTCAACCATGTGATGGTAAGAGAGAAATACATCATCTGTTGATCGTCCTATTTGTTTCTTCTATTGGCACGTGGAGTTTTAATGCAGAGAGGGGACTGACTTTTTTGTGTTGCCAAGTGATCTAGTTTTCTTATATGAAACAAACCCTGATTTCACAACATGAAGGAGATTATTTCTTGTACCTGGAACATATAAAATGACAGCAAGAGTGAAGATTTCATGCAGTGTACCACTGACTGTGGCCATCTTGGTCTCTGAGGTGTAAAAGCAATTCTGATCAGTCAGTCCTTGACCGGCTAACAATCTAATCCTAGTTTAGTAATTTTTAGCAATGCCTTTCAAGGTATGCACAAAAAATACTAGATCCAATTCGATGGAGATGGTGGATCTATAAATTGCTAATCTATGTTGTCATAAACCGGACAGTTCTCAGTAAAAAGCACTCTGAATTGCTAATCTTTGCTCTAAGCAGGTTTATATAATGAAGAGTTTTACTATTTTGATTCAAATGGATGTAGGATAATTCATAGATTCCAACTACACAGTGAAGATGAATTACCTCATGTCACACTGAGCAAGGTTTCTATAGGTTAGAAAGCAACAACTAAAGGCTGAAGCTGAATTAGTTCAGGTCACATAGAGAATTTCTTTGAAGGGTCAACCTTTATGCATTCAAAGTGATAAACTGACAGTCATTAGAGTCTGAATCAGCAACAGAAATACACGAAATTCTGGTTATTCTAATAAATCATATTCACTGCCGAAATAAACTTAAAATCCACAAGCTAATTCAACAAACTCACACAGAAAACCATCTGAAATCCCTAATAATGAGTGTCGAAATCATATTCCCTATTCAAGATAGTTTAGAAAAAAGACCAAACCCAGATTGAGCAAAACCCATGAAATCGAACATCAAACTAAGCACAAAAAACGCAAAGAAAACGATCAGAAAGAGATGGGAACAGGCCAGCAAAAAAAGAAAAAAAAATTTGGACCATTTCTCGATTTGTGCGTGTCATCCTTGCGCAGGGGCCATGCTAATCTTCTCTGTATCGTTCCAATTTTATCGGATGTCCCCGAAGGGACAATGATTATAAGGCTGCTTGGTGATTATAAACTATTTGTTTTCTCTTTCTCTAGCTGGTGTGGGATATTTAGTTGGTTCCCAACGGAATAATTAACTAGCCTATCTCATCTTTATAGGGTCCTAACGTATGGGCTGGCCCAGTTCTTAATCTTCTATATATTGTCTTGGCAAAACTGTTTAGGTAATAGTATCGTCTGACATGATAATTTAGTCTTTTTAGATTGAAATTGTTGATGGAATATTGTCGATAAGAAGCAAGTTCCATATCAAGGTTCAAGACAACTAAGCATGACAGACACTTTTTTTTTTTTAATGTTTTTGATAATTTTATCTACAAAAGGTGTCGTAACCGGTTTTCGTCCGGGCACGAAATATTATACTTGGCGGGGAAATTGATGTGAATAAATAGTTTTGAAAATAATTTGGGAGTCGCCATCGGCCTTTTGGATCAGGTAGGTCGAATACCTAAAAATTATTATTATTATTTTTTTAAAAATTTTAAGAAAACATCAATTAAAAAAATAATCTGATCTGCGTTTATAACCAAAAATTCATTCTTTTTAATAATAAAAAGGGATTCGTGGTCGATTACGTTTAGGGAAGGATTAGCACCCCTACAACGCCCAAAATTGATACTTTTTAATTATAAATTGTCTCTATTGTTAAAATTTAAAAATTCAAAAATATATTTAGTTTATAATCCTATTATTTCAAAATTATATAAAAATATTTTATTTATTTAAAAAATATCAGAAAAGAACTTCTAGGTGCCTTAAGACAGCTCTTTTCTTTGATATTGATAAATATTAATTTAAATAATATTGTTTAATTTTTAATTTTAAAATATCAGAATAGGACATCCAGTTGTATTAAGACTGTCCTTTTCTTCGATATTAAAAATTTATATTTAAAAATTACTATTTATTATATATATATTTATGAATACATAAATATATAAACAAATAAAATAAAAATACCACTAAAATAATATATTTTAAAAGCAGTAAAATAAATGAAAACATATAAAATAAATGACTAAATTATAGTAAAAATAAAATTTAAAAATCTAATTTATAATTAATCAAAATTATAGGGATTAAACATGCTATTTCTTTATTTTATTTATTTAATGACTAAAATAAAATTATCTAAAATTCGGATATTAGAATAAAATAAATTAAAAATATAAACTAAGGATTAAAATATTATTTATTAAAATTAAGGGATTAAATCTGTTATTTATCCTAAATATATTATTTTAATATAAAGGATTAAAATAAAAGAAATTAAAATTCGAAGACTGAATTAAAAATATTATAAATTCAATTTAATGACTAAAATGTAAAACATATAAAACATAGGGATTACGGAAAGGGTTTAACATTTATAAAATTACACAAATAGCCTTCCCCAAAACGGCATCGTTTGGGAAGGGCTATTTAATGCCCAAACCGGCTGGCCCTTCGGGCCAGCTATCTCATTTCTTTTTTTTTCTTTCTCTCTCAAACAGAGAGAGAAGAGTTCTCTGGCTTCTCTCTAAACTGAGAGAAGCCGTCCCGGTCAGCCACCGCTACCGGGCTCCGACCACCGCTGCCGGCCACCGTTAATGGTGGCCGGAAATTACAAAAATCCACCAAAATATAGATCGGGACGGTCTAAAACCGTTTCCGGTGTTCTTTTTCCTTAAAAAGCTCCCAATCGGAGCAGATCTACAAAAATACCTTCGGTTTTCGTTGTATCCGGCGACGGTTGGGGTTCTCCGATGACAGAGTAAGCTTCTTTCCTCTCTTCTCTCCTTTTTTTTTCTTGCTGCGTTGATGTTGACTGAGATCGTTGGTATATTTTTTAGTATATCTTTTTTTTTCTCTGTTTTTTTTTTCTCCGTCTCTCTGTGTTCTCTGTCTCTCCGTTTTTTTTTCTGTCTCCGTTTTTTTTTTCAGGTTGGGGTGGTGGCTTTTATAGCCACCACCGGTGTGGCCATCGGACCGGTCCGAAGATGGGGTCTCGGTGAGTCACCGGACTACCAGTGGTGACTCACCCCGTAGCCATGGCGTGGACGGCTGGCGTTGGAGCTTCTGGAGCCTTCGGTTGGGACGTGGCAGCGGCGGAGGCGGCGAGATAGCAGCGGCGGCCGCGTGTCCCTAGGGTATCAGACCCTAGGGTTTCCATCTGGGGCAATCTGGACCGTTGGATCTCTTAGATCCAACGACTGTGATGAGGCGGCCGGCTAGATTAGGGTTAGGAAACCCTAATGGAAACCCCCAAATGTTTAGGGTTTCTGGTTTGTTCTGGACCGGTTCTGGTTTGTTTGTAACTGGGCCGGTCCATTTGTAATTGGCCTGTAATTAATTATTTATATATATATTTAATATATATTTAATAATAATAATAATAATAATGATAATAATAATAATAATAATAATAATAATAATAATAATAATAATAATAATAATATGGATAAAAAATTAGTATCTTCAGCTGCCCCTCTTTGCTCATTCTTGTGTTAACAAGAATAGGGCAAAGATGAAAAGATAATAAATTTTTTTATCCATTTGGCTTTACTTTGATCATAATGGATATATTGAATAAATTCTTCTCTCTCTCCAGATGAGTTCTTCTTATTATGAACTTTTTGCTGGGGATGATGATCCATCAAATGATGAATTCAAGCAAAAGATTGAACAAGTTCTTCTCATTATGAACTTCTTCTTCCTTCTTCAGGTGACGAGTTCTTCTCATTATGAACTCTACCTGGCAATGTTGATCCATCAAATGATGAATTCAAGCAAAAGATTGAACAAGTTCTTCTCATTATGAACTTCTTCTTCCTTCTTCAGATGAGTTCTTCTCATTATGAACCTTCTCTGGAAAAGATAATCCATCAATTTGATGAATTCAGAAAAAAGGTTGAACAAATTCTTCTCATTATGAACTTCTTCTTCCTTCTTCAGATGAGTTCTTCTCATTATGAACCTTCTCTGGAAAAAATAATCCATCCAGTGATGAATTCAGATAAAAGGTTGAACAAATTCTTCTCATTATGAACTTCTTCTTCCTTCTTCAGATGACGAGTTCTTCTCATTATGAACTCTTCCTGGCAATGTTGATCCATCAAATGATGAATTCAAACCAAAAGGTTGAACAAGTTCTTCTCATTATGAACTTCTTCTTTCTTCAGATGAGTTCTTCTCATTATGAACTTTCTCTGAAAAAAATAATCCATCCAGTGATGAATTCAGATAAAAGGTTGAACAAATTCTTCTCATTATGAACTTCTTCTTCCTTCTTCAGATGACGAGTTCTTCTCATTATGAACTCTTCCTGGCAATGTTGATCCATCAAATGATGAATTCAAACCAAAAGGTTGAACAAATTCTTCTTATTATGAACTTCTTCTTCCTTCTTCAGATGAGTTCTTCTCATTATGAACTTTTTCTGGAAAAGCTAATCTATCAAATGATAGATTTGAATCTTTGCTAAAATCTTTGAAATTCCTGTTAAAAATTCAACAAGAATAAAAATGAATGAAAATGTATCTATTATTTTTTTTTTGAAAATGCCTAAATATGATGCATGAATGTTAATTTATTTGATTTCAGATTGGTGAATTGAGTATTTCTTCAATTGTAAAAACCCAATAGATCTTTCTTCTTCAAAACAAAGAATCTATCATCTTTGACAAATATAGATGTAGATATAATGTCACAAAACCTCTTGAGAATAAAACTCAATAGTATAGGCTCTTGAAAAGCTTGTATTCAGGCAACATGTTGATTCTGATAACAATTCATCTGATTATGAAGTGACCTTTCAAGATGATTTCACAGATATCGATAGTTCTTCTAATACCGAGAAATCTTGACTTCTGATTTTGATGAAGAGAATAAACTGTTATACTTGACAAAAATGTGATTCTCAGAGGCTGAAACTTCAAATAGCTTTCTTCCGGTAAAAGATGGGAAGCCATTATGTGATGATCCCAGTTACAAGCAAAGGTGAAACTTGTGCTATGATTTTTGGGAAAGGAATAAGCAAAAGAAGCTTGAAAAGAAACTTCTTAATGAAGACGATCATGCAGTTCATCTTTTAATTCTAATGTTTGGTTCTGTAGTTCTTACCAAACCAGATCAGATAACTCAAAGAACACTTCCAGAAGATGCTATGAGCACATTCATCTTCCAAATTCAATGATTGGTTCTGCCAAACCAGATCAGATAACTCAAAGAACACTTCCAGAAGATGCTATGAGCATATTCATCTTCCCAATTCAATGATTGGTTATGCTAAACCAGATCAGATAACTCAAAGAACACTTCCAGAAGATGCTATTAACAAATTCATCTTCTAAATTCAATGATTGGTTCTGTCCAACCAGATCAGATAACTCAAAGAACACTTCCAGAAGATGCTATGAGCATATTCATCCTCTAAATTCAATGATTGGTTCTGCTAAACCAGATCAGATAACTCAAAGAACACTTCCAGAAGATGCTATTAACAAATTCATCTTCTAAATTCAATGATTGTTCTGTCCAACCAGATCAGATAACTCAAAGAACACTTCCAGAAGATGCTATGAGCACATTCATCTTCCCAATTCAATGATTGGTTCTGCTAAACCAGGTCAGATAACTCAAAGAATACTTCCAGAAGATGCTATTAACAAATTCATCTTCTAAATTCAATTATTGATTCTGCTAAACCAGATCAGATAACTCAAAGAACACTTCCAGAAGATGCTATTAACAAATTCATCTTCTAAATTCAATGATTGTTCTGTCCAACCAGGTCAGATAACTCAAAGAACACTTCCAGAAGATGCTATTAACAAATTCATCCTGTAAATTCAATGATTGGTTCTGCTAAACCAGATCAGATAACTCAAAGAACACTTCCAGAAGATGCTATTGGCAAATTCATCTTTCAGTTAATGTTTGGACTAGGATATCACAATACTTATTTGATGTAGAGCCAGAATTTATAGATTCGAAGCATTTCCATGCTGCTACACTAAAAAGGGCTATATTCTTAATTCTGCCAATTAAGAACAGATTTTCTCTTATTCTGCTTCCTCCCTGTGCTGATGCTTTTCCATTGACAAAGAAATGATGGCTTTCATGGGATCCAAG